TGTTGAAGAAGCCAGCATTGTGCTGGGTTTTGGAATTCCATGAGTAGACAAAATGAACATGGTACCTGCCCAGATGACGTTTACAACCTTGTGACTGCATCAATGGCATCGATCCCTAAACCAGGCAGCTTTGACCTTGGTGCTCCATGCCAAGATGGATGGAGGACAGGGAGAAGCATGATCCACTTCCCTCCCAATTCTAAAAAGCATCATCATCATCATCATCAAGAAGAAAGGGATCTGAGAAGAAAGTGAGGTTGGGGATAGACATAATGAAGAGTTCAGAGAAGTCCCTGAGCAGGAAGGTTTGGATAGAGAGGAGCTAGCAGGATGAGGGGACCCTGATTGGGATCAGGCAGCAACAGCCATTTTCCAAGCCTGATCCCAGCTCAATCTCCCCTTCCCAGTAGAGAAAATGTGAAGGCAAGAAAGAGATCTAAGTATATGAAGAATGCAAATAAGGAGGGAAACAGCCCATTATTGTCTTTTCTCACCTTCAGAAAGTTCCTGAGGGAAATACAGTTATGAGTCTTTTTCCTAACCCCAACCAGTACCTACTGAAAGAGAATCATCCCCAGGGCAGGAAAAACACTACGAGAAGGAAAAATGAATCCCATGACCTGCCCCTATGGAACTGTCATATTGGGAGTGGGCACATCATGCTAGGTTTAGACATATCTAAACCTAGTGGGGAGGACCAGTATTTTGCTCTGAAGCTGTAGACACAGCAGGAAGGCCACAGTAGAGAGAGCCCAGGAGCTCAGCTCTGAGTCAGCCAGACCTGAAGGTAAGGGGCCTCGATGGAGGGACTAAAAGGAAATTTGAGATTTATATTTATGCATGCAGATCAGGGCTCTGTAAGCAGAAAGAGTGTCCTTGAAGGAATTGGGGGAAATTCCAAGGATCCCAAATCAATTTATTAGCATTCCCATTCATAATTCATGTATTTTTCTTTTTCTTTTAATTAAAATTCTTAAAATAATAGAAATGTACTCCCCTTTCTAGTTGATTTATAGAATAGTGAAATTCTAAGACAAAGTAGTTCTTGGTATACCCTGCTCATATATTCTCATTAAGGCCAGATCAAGGTATGCCTTTGTGAAATGGGTTCCCTTAATCATGTCACTGTTGTATTAGGAAAATATATTGGATAATATATTGGTATCATAATGTAAAAATAACGTTTTCTAGAACTGATCATATTCAAGCAAAACCACCACTCCTGTTGGCCTTGGCCACTTTCTTCACATCTCAAATGAAGTTTTAAAAGCGTAAACAAACAAACATAAACAAACAAAATTTAAACAGACTCATAGACACATGGACTCATTGACTGGTGGCTGCCAGAGGGGAGGTAGATTAGGGGACTGGATGAAAGAGATGAAGAGATTAAGAAGTATAAATTGGTAGTTATAGAATAGTCATAGTCTGTAAAGTACAGCATAGGGAATATAGTCAATAATATTGCAATAACTATGCATGGGGTCAGGTGGGAACTGCTCAGATGAAGTTTGCCACCTTGTGACTGTGTCAGAGGCATCAAAATATTGGGGGGATCACTTTGTATAAGTATATGATTGTCTAACCATTATACTGTACACCTAAAACCAATACAAATTTTAAAAAAGAAAAAGAAAAAGCATGTTTCCAATTTAGCTTCCTGCAACTATACACTTTATCATTCTCTATTCAACACCTTCTTTCCCAAAAGATGTATTAATTCAAATCTATTTTGAGATTCCATAAAGGAACATAGGCTAGAAAATCCAACTGTCCAATTTTAAATCCCACCTCTACCAGCAACCATCTGCCTGTGTGACGTTGATTAAGTTATTCAACCTCATTAAACCATTGTTTCCTCATTTGTAAAGTAGGGATGTTGCTAATAATGATGAAATTGTATGTGAAGTGCTTAGCACAGGCCTGGCTCAAACCAGGCACTCAATATAAATAAATCTTATTATAATTATAAGAAAACGTTAAAAGCTTTGGAGCTAAAGAATAATACTTTAAAACCACTCTGTGTGTGTGTGTGTGTGTGTGTGTGTGTGTGTGTGTGTGTGTTTTAATTTATTTGAGACACACTGAACTTAACAGGAAGTGTGCCTCAGAGATAATACATGCTCCCATTGACCACTGTATCATTTTGGGTTTGTTTTTTTTTTTGTAATATTTAAGTGTACTCTTTGTTTATATTGATGAGATCCTCTACTAAATTTTAGGGCATTGTTTGCTAGAATAAAGACACTCATCAGTTTTTCATGCCTCTAATGGGTCCATAGAGTAGAGAGAAAAAGAAAGACATAAAAGCAAGGCCTTGCCCAGCTGGTGTGGATCAGTGGTTGAGAGTCGGCCTGTGAATCAGGAGGTCACCCATTCGATTCCTAGTCAAGGCACATGCCTGGGTTGCAGGCTTGATCCCCATTTGGGCATATGCAGAAGGCAGCCAATCAAAAGTTCTCTCTTATCATTGACTAGGGGCCCAGTGCACGAATTTGTGCACCTTGAAAGGAACTGTGGGCCGTGAGGCTGTGGTGGGCACAGGGGCAATTCTCGGCCCATCCTATGCACCTCCACCCAGCCCTCCCACTGTGGACCCTGGTCCCCTGTCTGCTGGCAGCCCCACTCCAGCCACCATGGCTCTCATACGCTGATGTTGCCAGCCCCACTCCCACCCGCTGATGGCGTGGGGTGATTGGGGCCGGCACCAGCAATGGGTACAAGCAGGGCTGGTGCTGTCAGTGGGTGCGAGCAGCAACTGCTAGCCCCGATCACTCCTCAGGAGCAGAGGGAGGTGGAGAAGCCCCGAGAGGCAATCGGGACCAGCAGCCACCTCTCACACCCACTGATGGGACCAAGCAATCAGGGCCGGTGCCCGCATCAGGTGCAAGTGCCGGGTGGGACTGCAGTGTGCGGGAGCAAAGAATTTTCAGTAAGTACCAGAGGCTCACCCTGATGACAGCGACTGGCGCCCCGCCTTGGCTGGCACCCTTCCTTACCTGCTCCACCATACTGCCACAGCCGACACCTGCCATGCTCCACACACACCCCTTGGTGGTCAGCACACATCATAGCAACCAGTTGTTCTGTTGTTCTGCAGTTCAGTCTATTTGCATATTAGCCTTTTATCATATAGGATGCTTCTCCCTTCCTCTCTGAAATTAATATAAAAAATTTAAAAAATAAAATAAAGGTTTTAAGCAGGAGCAAAAGAAAAAAGCTGTGAAGAGAATAAAGAACACTGGAATGGGAGTTCTATATCCCTTTACCTATCACTGTATTAGTACCATAGCTATCATGTGGGTGACAATCATCATGTTTTTAACTTGGATATTGAGTAATTGAATAAGATAATGCCTTATATTTTTCCCACTTTATGGTTCCGTGGTTTTGTTATTCTGCTGCCAACGGCTATGTGATAGTTATGGTACAACTAGAGGCCCAGTGCACAAAATTTGTGCTCTTGGGGGGGTCCCTCAGCCCAGCCTGTACCCTCTTGCAGTCCAGGAGCCCTCTGGGGATGTCTGACTAATGGCTTAGGCCTGCTCCCCGCCAGCAGTCGGACATCCTTAGCACTGCCGTGGAGGCAAGAGAGGCTCCTGCCACCACCACTGCACTTGCCAGCCATGAGCACGGCTTCTGGCACACTGACCACCAGGGGGCAGCTCCTGCATTGAGTGTCTGTCCCCTGGTGATCAGTGCGCATCATAGCAACCTGTCGTTCTGCCGTTTGGTCAATTTGCATATTAGCCTTTTATTATATAGGATATTTAAAGAGGTATGAAACTTGATTCCTGCTTTGTTAACTACTGAACTAGACTTGAGTAGCTAAAGAGGATTGGGAAGGGCATTTTAGACACTGGGACCCAACTCAAGAGGACAAAAAAAAGTGAGCAACCAGACTCACTACAAACTTGGAGACAAGTTCATAGTGTCTGGTTAGAGTAAGAGTTTTAATGTTAGAAAGCTAGATTAGGTCGAGTTCTGCGGAGAACCCTGAATGTCAAGCAGTTGACAAGCATTTTATAAGCATTTGGCAGCCATTAGAGTATGTTGAGCAGGGAAGCATATTGTAACATCAAAAGGCATCATCAAAGAAAAATACAGACACTCCTCAACTTACAATAGAGTTATATCCCAATAAACCTATTATGAGTTGAAAAGATCATAAATAAAAAAATGCATTTAACACACCTAACCTGCCTTAGCCTAGCCTACCTTAAATGAGTTCAGCACACTTACATTAGCCTACAGTTAGGCAAAATCATCTTGCTGTCACTGCCCTGCATCATAGAGAGTATCGTACCACACATTACTAGCCCAGGGAAAGATCACAACTCAAAATTTAAATGCAGTTTCTGCTGAATTTGCACCAACATAACAGTGTAAGTCTAAACATAGTAGGTATGTGACTGTACTTACAGTGTAATTGAAAATCACTGGCCAAAAGTTGACAAAGCTACTATTTTATAAATTTTGGATTCTTATTAAAATATACAATTCCAATATTCAGGAGAGAAGGAATTCCTAACTATTTAGGTTGTGTCTGTATAACATTGCTTTAAAGAACAAAAGGAATACTAAAATAACCCCATTTTTATATGGGTTATTTGAATGAATTCCAAGTTATTTTAAAATTCAGGCAAAAAATTTGCATATGTAGACTCAGCTTAAGTTCCTAGTTTTCATTATGTAAAGCTTTCAAGCAGACATGAGGGAATGTTTATCACTGAGAACCAGTGTGACCCTACCCACTGGGCCTGCTCGCATTATTGATGTTGCACATGTGGGCCAAAGAGAATGGTCTTGGGGATAGTGCAAAGAATTACATTCATCAGGACTAGTCGGTCAAATGTGAAAAACTCAAATGCACTTGGTATCATTTGAAACTTTTAAAAAATAATCTAAAAGGATGTTTCTTGGTTTGCTTGCTTGTTTTCCTAGACCATTGACCTGTTGGCTTGCAAATAATATGTATGAATCTATGTGTTTCCTTCCAGGGTCTTTCTTCCCTGACTTCAAGCCCTCTGAAACAGTTTTTAAAATAGCATTTTGGCTCGGATACCTAAACAGCTGCATCAACCCTATTATATACCCATGCTCCAGTCAAGAGTTTAAAAAGGCCTTTCAGAATGTCTTGAGAATCCAGTGTCTCCGCAAAAAGCAGTCTTCCAAACGGGCCCTGGGATACACCCTGCACCCACCCAGCCACACCTCGGAGGGGCAGCACAAGGACCTGGTGCGCATCCCCGTGAGCTCAGGAGAGACCTTCTATAAGATCTCCAAGACAGATGGGGTCTGTGAATGGAAGTTTTTCTCTTCCTTGCCTCGTGGATCTGCCAAGATTACAGTGTCCAAAGACCAATCAGCCTGCACCACAGCCCGGGTGAGAAGTAAAAGCTTTTTGCAGGTCTGCTGCTGCATGGGGCCCTCGACCCCCAGCCATGGAGAGAACCATCAAATTCCAACCATTAAGATCCACACCATCTCCCTCAGTGAAAACGGGGAGGAAGTCTAGAGGACAGGAAAGGTCAGAAGGAAGGGGGGATAATCTTAGGCATGTTCATTCTTCTTGGATGACAAGACAGAACCCTCCAACCAGGGACCATCTGGGAATGGGTCGGGGAGGAGACCAACTCTTGGGCAGTGGGTAGGGCTCAGGGAGGAGGGAGGATGTCACACGGCCATCCAGTTCAAAATGAGGATAAACAGCACGTCCTTGAGGCTAATGCTCTCTGGGGCATCCTCTGAGCCCGCTCTCCACGTCTGACCCCTTCATTGAAAAACACCATGGGAAACAGAATTTCATGCACCATCCAAAAGTCTATAAATATAGGATTATGATTTCATCATGAATATTTTCAGCACACACTCTAAGTTTGGAGCTAGTTCTCGATGGAGTGAGGGGATTTTATTTTCAGGCTAAACCTATTGACAGCGGTGTTGGATATTTACAGGGTGAGGGCCTGGAGAGGAAGAGCCTTAAGATGGTGGCTGATACTCATTATTTTTAGAGCAAGTTTTACACTTCATTTCTGATACATCCAGTGTCTCAGCTTGGGTTAAACTTGACAGTGAGATTTACCTTTTTCGGGGACTTGACCAGCTGCTTCTCCTGATTCCCTAAGGATGAGGGTGAGGGGCACGCATATCTCTGCACTAACGTAGGCACATCCTTTAGGCTTGGGTCTAGAGTGTGTTGAAAGAACCAGCCAGTGAAAGGATGGTTTTTCCTATTGGAAAACAGTGGAGATGAGGGTAATTTTTTCAACTTAACTACTGTGGACAAAATTCCATTAAGCAGTTCCTAGATCAGATGGAGGAAGTCTTCTCATGTAAAGTATTTAAAGATCAAAAGGTTGGGGTGGACTGGGTGCTAATTTCATGCAAATTAGAGGCTGCAAAATTACTCTACAGCCTCTTTGACATGGCCTAGAAAGATCTTTCTTGACAAATCACTTACCTTTTTCAGAACTCTATTATGAAAAGCCACAGGTGATAATATTTTGAAAGGCACATCTTGATTTCCATTTCTTCTCAGCTGCTTCACTTTTGCATCGTGGATGAGAGCCAAGGTCTCCATGCACCTGTAGAATGTTGGAATGAGCCTTATGATCTGAGTATATCCTTTCTGAAATTTGAGTGACACACACTTATCTTGGGAGCATACTGACTAAAAGCCCATCAATAGCAGGAGTTTGCAAAGCGTTTTTGACAGATGTCCATTTAGTCTGGTAAAAGATCCGGTATCCCATTCACTTCATTTATTTCCACTTTCTTCAGGCAACATGCTATTTTTTGGTTTTTGTCTACCAAAATTTTGGTAAACCTTAATAACTCAGTATACCTACTAAATATGAAGATGGTAATTATATGTAAAAATTAAAATATTTTTCATATTTCACAATAAGAATTTAAAATGAGGTTTTGAAATAATTATTGACAAGAATCACTGGTCTAAAACTACTTATCATTTCAGTGGGCTCTTTCCCCATATTTGGGTAATTCCCTCTAAAAATTTTGAAGTAGAATGTAGCCGTTATTTAAACCTTCACGGCAAAGTAGTAGCCAACATCATCTATTTCTTCTTCCCTTGCAGCAAAATGATAATTTCCTTAAATTCTTCTGAAAGGCTAATGCCTGCACATACTGCCATGGAGGGAATGTTTGTGTGTGGACTGGATTTGGTTGTTGGTTGTGTTTGGACATAGAATATTACCACTTTCTCACCCCTTTCTGGAGAGTGTCTTCTTGCTGACTGGATAGACATTCTGCCTTGTGCTCATAAATTGGGTTCTGGCATTAGATGTTGGCTGGATTTTTAGGCTCTTCTGGTCTTTCTGCATGGCCCACAACAGCTCTACCAGATGTGGCTGTCCTATTATGGATGTAGGCACCAGGGAAGGATGTGAATATGCAAACCTCGCTCCTCTTCTGCCTTAATAGGAAAAATAAGTTTCATTATTGAGAAGAACTTCTTTCAGAATCTGAATTTTAAAAAACACTCTGGCCAGGCTTCCCCTTCCAGGAACAACATCCCCATGAAAGAATGGTAGCAGTTTTTCTTCATCAAAATATGCCTCCATGTTTGAGATGATCTTTAAACTGCATTACTGACGAATTTAAATATTAGATATTTAAATTTAAGTTTAAGATCACCAGAAAGCTAGCATTAATGCCAGTGCTAATCAAAATAAACAACTAGAAAATCTTTCCATCATCAGACAAAAGCCATGACAATTGTGTTCATGCAAAATGATCCATAAATAATTGTCTGCTATACTCTTCTCCAACCCACTCCCTCCAGGGAGGTAAACTTTAACATTTTTTTTCTTTCCCATAATATGGTATTATGTATAAACACTCCAATTTTACAAGAAATTAATAATGTCACCCAAGACTTAGCCAAAGTGGGATAACAATATCCAAGATATTTTTTATTCACCCACAAAAAATCTCTGTACCTTTGAGCATGCCAAAAACTATCTAAAATTGTCACGGTTAAACAAATGGTGGTCATATTTATACTTACATGTGTACTGCATCTATTTGGAGTTTGAAGAATTTGCCCAGGGCAACAGGGGTCAGAATGTCTTCTCTAATGTGTTATGAAAAGCAGCTGCTTTGGGATTGTCTCCGCAGCACAAAAAGTCAGCTTGACATGATGGGATAGGCAAAACCTGATTTCTTCTGCAATTCAAATTGCATGCATTAAGAGAGACCTTGAATCTCTTTATTCAAAAATGTCCCCAGATGTTTGCAAGGATTTCAGGAAAGCATTTTGCTTGTCACAGTTTTCTTCCTTTCGCCTCTGTTGTGTCTCATCCGAGACCGCTCCTGCCTGTAATCACTCAGTGTATGCTAAACTCTCCAAAATATTGAGGCTTGTAACTCTCTCACCACCTACTTGAATTGGTCCATCCATGGTAGACAGTGGTATTTGGGTAAATAAATATTTTCTTAGGGCTTTTTTGGTAAGTGCTACTGTGTGCCAGGCATTACCAGGGCATTTTTGTACCCATTGTCTCTAAACCCCATAGCAATTTCACAATTTCAAAAATATTCACATTTTTTAGATTAAAACCTGATAGTTGAGAGTGATTAAGGACTGGCTCAAAGCCAAGGAGGAACCATGATTCAGTCCTGGTTCTGCCTGACATTAAAGTCTGCATGTTGTTGTTTTTCCCCACAGTACCCCTGCCTCATGAATAGTGGGGGTAGAAGTCCCCAAGTCAGGACCGGGTGTGCTAAGGATGCTAAGCCAGACCCGAACTTTTTAATGCTTTGTTCCCTTGGGATTTGCTTGCCAATTAACTTTGATAAATATCCTGCCAAATATTCATTCCAGCCAAAACCAACAAATAGCAGGTCATAAATGAAAGGGTTTGGCGTCTATAATTCTATCAGACGGCACCGCTTTCCTGGGGATCACTGCCTGGAATGTTACTCAGGCTTTGCAAGGAGCACAAACTGTATGAAATTGGGAGAAGATGGGCATATAAGAGAATGCAGAAGAGGCTGCTGCATTGGCCTAGAATAGCAAAACACACGTGTGGGTATGAAATACTTTCATAGGATACCAGCGCTATTGACTACCAACCACAGTTAATTGGCACACTTTCGGGAAATATATCATTTTTTAAACTAAATAAAAACAAATATGACATCACTTTTATCAACTGTATTCCAACAATCTTGTTTTTTTAGTTTGAGAAAGAGAAAATAAATTATAGGTATTTCACCAGGATTGCACAGAGCTCAGAGAATGTGTCAAATATGTGAATGCCGTATCTGTCACGATGTGGCCCTGGTTCAGAATGCTGATCTCCAGGTAGCCAGAGACCTGGGCAAATTTTGAAGATGGGGAATCGGTTGGCAAAGTGGCTACTTATTAGATGGCCTCCCCTGGGTCCTGGGTTTCCTTTCTTAAATGAACACTTGATGTCCTGGGTGTCCCGGCCTCCCTACCCTTTCATAGTGAGCCATCATGCAGGCCCAGTAAGTTTCCTGCTTGTAGCCTGAGAGAACATTTTAAGACCTATTTGCTTGGGAGGGTAATTATTCAGTCTTTAATCACAGCTACTTAATCACAGCTTGACACACATTTTCACTTGCTCCTGGGGCTGGTTCTGCTCAGGTCCTCTTGCCAAAAGAGATGCTGCCTCTGCCTACGTGTTGACTTAATTAAGGGAAGAGCTCTGTTTATCAGCAAAGGGAGAAGGGAGCCCAAGTGCATGGAAGGTAAACTCTGCAAGTGAAGCAGGGTGTTGAAATAGAAGGCAGAGGTAACTATGGAGACAACATCAGGTGTATGCTCACCTGTTACTCTGATTTCTTTTTAAACTACTAGGACTTTTAACCATGAAACCACCTGCACACAGCTCCGGTTAAGCTAGTTGGAACACTGTTGGCAACTGCTCCTTGTCTACAAAGTGTGCTGTGGAGTAGGCCACCATCTTCAAAAAGCAATGGCAGTAGTGGCCTTCTGGCCTCCAAAGTCCCTGCAAGATGACTGTTGTAGGGCTGGGCTGGCAAAAGCAAGCCAGGATTTGAACAGAGGACACTGGCCCCTAGCCAGTGCTCCCATCAACATTACCTCATTCATGTTCCCAAGACCCAAATGTCACGGGGGCTGAGGATGGACCTTATCTGCCCTGTGGAGGAAAATGCCATCTCTCCTTTGCTCTTGCAACACAGATTACTGAGTGCCCCACCCAAAAGGAATGTTATGGCATCGGGGAGGGGGCTGTTGAGGAGAAAGAAGATTTACCATAGATATTCTCAAAGCAGGATGGATGGTTCAGGAATACGTTACTGCAAGTGATAAGCAAGGAACTGCCCTAAAGCTATGCGTATTCATTTTCTCTTTCCTTTTTGTGTAACTGCGGAGTTATTACATTACTTTCCCTCCGTGCCATAGTCCACATTGCCACCTTATCAGCTAGAAATGATTATTGCTAAACACTGAAAAATTCAGACTTAATTGGATCAAAAAATCTAAGAGCAAATGTATACTGTATCTGGAGAAAA